ACACACACACAGACAACCCCTCGTCAATATGCGTTTTCTGAATTGCACAGCTGCAAAAAACACATTAAAAAAGCATGCATTTAATCAAATTTGCATCACATTTTATACGAACTTACGTGCTTAGCATACAAGGGCTGCTAAGCACTGGAGCCAAAGCACAAGTACTTGCGCATCAGCTGCGGCGAGCATCGTGGCACAGTACCCCGTACCTAAAGAAGTTCCCTAGTCCCTGCCCAAAATGGGGCTCGCTGACAAAGATGGCATCCTTCTCTAATTTTACACACCGCTCACTTACGCACGGTATTGATAATGATCGAACAGGAGAGTAAGTGGCCCTGGCTCCAGTTGTTGCCTCTTTGCTACGGCGCTCAGTCATACCTGCAGAAAGAATCTTGGTGCTCGACAGTACTGCGTGATCCAACGCAAGATATTCAGTGTTTTGACAGTCATGTTGTTGTAAGTGTCAATCATATCGAACACAATCAGATCGTCCCATTTTTTGGCCTCCATTTGTACAACTTCATCCACACTGCCCAGCTTCTCAACGCCGAGCACAAATACCTACAAACAAGTGCTATCAAAATTGCTTGTATGGGACGAAAGTTTTAACAAAAAAAGATACTGGCGAGTGGATTAAATGCAAGCAGTTAAATGATGCATGAAGGCGATCAGGTAAGTTTGCGTCACTAGAGCAGAGAATTAAGTTGATCGAAAAGAACTGTACAAGAATAGAAGCTTCATTCAGTAGGCCTTATTCTATTTGAAAAGACCAGTGTGGGAAGCAGTCTTCGTTTTCCCTACTCCCTGCAGAACTTGGATTCGTGGATCATTCACCTATAACAGTATAGAGGCAGCATGCAGCTAATGATAACAGTAACTGAGGTGGATAGGGTGTACCAGTACTTCGTAGAACAAAGAATATGACGCGTTTTTTTTGCAAGAGCAGCCTTGAAATCAGTAATTCCGGTTTACTGTTCCAAATGTATTTATGGTGCTGCAAAATTATCCTTGGACCTTGAGTTCCGATTTGTAAATTGGCAGAAAATTGGAATGGGTCGGCCTGATGAAAACTGAGCACACTGCGGAGTTTTATTACCAAGAATACTATGAATACTCGGGCGATCGATGAAAGGATCCGATGCTAGATGTTCTAACATATTCCACACGCCGGCGCAGCCACGTGGCGGGCCCTTCATCCTGGACTGAAAACTTTCAGTTAGCATCCATTGCCTGCTCGATGTGCGCGCATCACTTCTGCGTTAGTGTCCGAGTGCTTATGCAGTGCCGTCCTTTGATACGTTACGTCCGCTTGCTTGTACTGAGACGAACATGTCATGCTCATCTAATTTTACTTCTTGCTTGGCCGCAATGACATTCTGCACGCCACAAATCTGACAGAAAGTTTGTTTGCTTATAAGGTCTCGAAATTGCACACTACACAAAAAATTAATAAACAGGCGAGTCTATTTGATTTTTATGGGCTGAGCATACCACATATGAATTGAAGCGCACGAATTTCTACAGCTGATGCACATATGAGTAAACCAAATAATTGTCGAGATGTAACTTCTCAAGAACTATGATCCATACAGTTCAATTCAAATTCAAAAATTATGTGTTTTGTATGTACATAGAGTGCCGGTGTACTTTGCGCAATTTCGCTTCTTGTATTTGTATGGCAAGGAATATGAGTCAGCTGGGGATGGCTGCTCACATTCCTTGGCGGGCCTAGAATTTTCGTCACGATACCCTTGCCTGTAGTTCCAGGTGGTACGGACGGGCTGGCGATCGTCCGAAGCCCTTCGGCGGATCTCCTCATTCGACGAGGAGCGGTAGCAACGAGCGGCGACGAGGACGGCGAGGACCAGTGGTGAGGATCAGCAGCAGCGGACAACAACGCAGGATCGACGACAACAACGACACGAAATTCACCCCAGACCGAGTTTTTTATGCGTTTTTGCATATATGCAAATTGCAAAAACGCATATTGGCAAGAGGCTTTCTGTGTGTGTCTATGTGTTTGCATTTTTTGTTACCCACTTTCAACTCGAGAACTAGAAAAGCTAGAAGGCTGAAACTTTGGGTTATGTACCCATATCATGCGCGACCCTCCCGTTTTAATATCATCCCCCGCGAACGCCTGAGTACCGTACACGGACACTTTAAAAAAATAGGCAAATTTTTTAGCGGAAAACCCATCTCGAAAACCAGGCAAGGTAAGGGACTCAAACTTTGCAGGGATCTTCCCTTTGCGTGTGTGAGCTAAAGATTTTAAATTCAGCCTCCAGTTATGCATGGTACTCATATAGCGGCGTATGAAAGTTTTGGCGAAAAATTGCTAACTTGGGAACTAAAAAAGCTAGAAATTGAAATTTTAGGGGAATGTTCCCTGTCCAAATACAACTTAAATGTTTCAAATTCAGCCTTCATATATGAGTGGTTCTCACGTATAGGCAATTAGAAGTTTTGGTGAAAAAACTGCTTACTGAACAGCTAAGTTACTATTAAAAAACGACCATTAAATGGAAATTGCCCATTTACTTTATGCAAAATTTATGGTGATTTACGCTAGTGAGTGGAAAAGGTACGTGTAAAGCAACAACCATCCATGCAGTTAACGACCTAAGTACTTCAAATCTGACGCGAAAATGCAAGATCACACCGGCAAGTCTGGTGCGTTTCACCCTGGGTAATTATTTCTTGTATGACAACGCAAGAGGAACCGGCATCCAAGTGGAGCAAGGCTGAGAATTTCGTACTCCATGTTAGTTTAAGATTTTTTCTTTCCCATTTCTTTTTTGCAAGTTTTTTATCCTACCTCTTCTCGCACTCACGCTATTTTCGTTGTAATGTGGTGGTTAGGGGGCTGTACTGATGATTCCCGCCCCTAACAACGCCTCCCACTGTCTGTGTTTACAGCTTAGGGATGAAACACAGGCATGCTTCCTTCTACACACACCTCTCAACATGACGCCCTCACATGACATACTGTTTCTGTAAATATGCAGCACTACTATTTTCTTGACCTTATTTTCCTTTTCCCTCCTTACGAATTTACTGGTTACCCGGATTTCGCATCATCGCCGTCTTACGGATAGGCTATTCATAGTCACCTTATATGGTAGGTACGGCCCTTGCCGGCCTTTACATTTCACTGAATGCGTCGTTGTTCCTGCCTCTCAGTTACCAGCCTTTTCCTTTCACCTGCAGGGCCCTTCACGGCCCGTACTGCCTTCTACTTTACAGTTTAATGTCGTATAATATATATTATTCTGTTGCGTGTTCGTGCTTGACGTTTCGCGTCACGCCCAGTATTTTACCGTTTGTTAATAAAAGTTATATTACCCAATTCTGAGAGTGCAAGGACGATACGAACCGACGAACCAAGCTTAAAGAACCGATGGAGCCGACGGATTATGCTCGCAAAAACGAATTGAAGAAGGAGCCGACGAGCAGTCCTCGCCAAGCAATCAAAGAAGGGCCGACGCATTGCACTCAATTTAAGAACTGGGACTGCTGCTACAGGCCACTCTGCCGGCCTAGAACTGCATCTATTTGGTATAAATTCTTTGAAGTGGACAAACAGCGGAGCTATCGTAGCCAGGAACATCATCGTCTACGATAATGCGCACCGACTGCTGGTACGAAGGTGCGTTTTTTGCATAGTTCCCCTCAGATTTTGTCGCTAACGGCGCCAGTTTTTCCGGCAGATGCCTCTGGCTAAAAGAATTGAAACTGACCACAAGCGCTGTCAGGAAACATCCTCTTAAAATTTCATCTTTCTAACTTTTCTGGTTCCCGAATCAACAACTTACTCGCAAAAAATTTTCATGGCAGAGCCACGCCCATCTGTGGTCTGGGTTAGAACTCATTAAGTTTTACGTGGACGAGAAAATCCCTTTAAAATCTCAGCTTTCTAGCTTTTCTGGTTTCCGAGTTAGCAGCTTACCCGCTAAAAACTTTGACGTACTCGTACGTAGGAACTACGTGGATGAGTACGCCTATTTTGGGGATTTGGGCCCGTATGTGCATGTAGATTAAGTTCGCAAAGTTCCAGTCTTGTTAACTTTTGTACGTCTCGAGATGGAAAATCGGTAAAGACGAACACGTAGACGCATACAGACAGACAGACACGCACACACAAACACACGTGCACAGACAACCCCTCGGCAGTATGCGTTTTTGCATTGCATAGATGCAAAAAACGCATTAAAAAAAAATAGAAAAATAATCTGTAAAAATATGAAAATCCTATGTAAACAGTCCGGAATTATTGAGGTTTTTACAGTTTCCCCAATACCTGAAATGCGACCTGCCATTTTGCAACTCGAATTCTATGTAACAAAAGTTCTATATC